TAAGAAATCTGTAAATTAATCTTAAAATGTTTTTATAACCACTAGATTGAATATCTAGGGTTAAATATGCGTTTGAAAGTATAGACAAATGTAAACTATTAGCCTAAAAAATGCTTGTTTTTACCTTGAATACCTTGGAATTTTTCTAAACGATGTCATGCCTCCAAAATCTGAGGAACGACTGAGGACGAGCACATGTCATGGTCGCTTAAGTACCTAAATATATTACTCAATAACGTGTTAATTATATGTTTGTACATTTTGTAAATTATATAAGTAAGATTTGTAAACATATTTTATATAAAAACATTATTTGGCAATTTTTTTTAAATAATCAATAGTGTCCGACTTTAGACTCCTACGTGTCCGACTTTACCCTCCACGTGTCCGAGTTTAGCCTCACGTGATTGGAAGTCATTTTTCGTATTCCTACGGCCTTACAAAAGCTGTCAGGTGTTTAAACATGGCTGCATCCATGAAGGGAAGTGTGGCGAACGTGACATTTTTTATTTGAAGATATAAGAATATTTATGTAAGATACACACATTAATGCCCTGATGTGTCCGACATTTGGCTCCTTTACCCTATGCTCCGCTCGAAACTTTTGCCAGCTCTATGACGCGAATTTCTACAAAGTAGTCCGGATCACATTTCAAAGACAAAAATGACCAACCGCTCGCTGTGGCTATGCCACCTGACGGAATGTCACGAATACACAACAAGACCAATTTTACTTCTAATGCTTTCTAGACGTCCACGAGGCATCTAACTTGCGTGCATAATGCAAATTATTGCACTCTAGTGCCGAATTTCTGCAGAAAAAAATGCGAAAAAAGGCATTTTCTAGAGACGATATAGTGCAACGGTGAACAATTTGCGGACGCTTACTGCTGCATAGCTCTAGTACTATAGCCCGCTTACATTAACTGCCGCTGGCTTAAACGCCAGCGGCAGTTAATGTAAGCGGGCTATAGTACTAGAGCTAACTGCTGCAGTGCCTGCGCTGACGTATACAAATGAAGCCCTAGTATTTAAAGTTAAAAAAGGAGGAACGTCCACGCTCCAGGCACTAGACAGGACTCAAAACCAGCTGGGAAGGGAGTTACTAGGGGCACCCTCTTATGTGGGACTGGAGAGTATTAGAGGGGAGATGGGATGGTCAACCTTTGAAGAGAGAGAGGCAAAAAGTAAAATTAAATATTGGGGCAGGATAAAATATATGAATAATGAACGTAAATGTAAACAGATAGCGGAAGCAATGGAATTGGGCGAATTCAGATCAGACTGGAGGAGGAGAACTAGGTTCAGGGTTCTGCCCACGGTGGGCGGGTGTGCCCGGCACTAATTTTTGATATAAAAAAAAGAAAAGAAAAAAAAGTGATATATGGGCTTTTTATTGCTCAGAATGCAGGAAATTGAGTTTCAGACTATCAAAAATCAAAATTTTTTAGGGGGGCATGCCTCCAGACCCCCCTAGATTGGCTTCGCGCCTACGGCGCTTGCATCTTGCGACGAACTGGATGCGCCCGGCACTAAAAAATCCTGGGCAGAACCCTGTAGGTTCCTCATAACAAAGTTTGACTCGGATAGGAGGCTAGACGAAGAGTTAATGGGGGTGGGGGGTATTAAAGAATGGAATGTTAGAGTGGAAAGAGCAATTAAACAGAGTGGTACTACCATCTGGAAAAAAGAAATAGAAAACAAGAGTTCGCTAGGATTGTATAAAGAAAAAAAGACGCCTGGTAAAGAGTCCTTTTATGATAATAGTCTTGGGAGTAGCCTACTCTTTCAATGCAGGGCGGGCTGCTTGCCATTGAATAAACGAACTAGACACTGGGGAGGGGAAGATAAATGCTTAATTTGTGGGAAAGGAGAGTTGGAGACCCTTGAGCACTTTTTACTAGAATGTCCTGGATATGAAAACCATAGAAAGTTTTTTTAATATGATTAAACGTAGAACAGGTTTGGAGGCAACAGAAACCTCACATGATATGCAGGAAGAGCTCTTGAAAACTCCTGGGGTTTAGGGTTGGCAGCAGGCGTATTACTATAGTTCAGCTTACTAAACAGTACCTGGAGATACTTGTAACTTTGGGGAGCTAGATCAGTTGCACTCACAAATCTATAAGGGGATACGGAATAAATTCTTTCTTTTCTTTTTTTCTCTTTTTTTTGCAAGGAAATACCGATCTAAAGGTTCCCAGTCATACATACACATACATACTGTTGTACACCTCCTATAAGATAGCCGAGTCGGTTTAGAGTTAGTATTAGGGTTAGGGTTAGGGATAGGGTCAAGAGCTAATAATACCTTATATTATCATATTAGAGGTATTATTAGCTCTTGATAGGGTGACTGTTTGTACTTGTGTGTGGGACTGCCGTACCCGTAGCCTCGAGACATTAAGATACAGCTACCGTACCCATAGCCACTGCGTTTAAGTATCGACAAGCGTTGTGTGTATTGTATTTGTATATCCATGCATGATGGCATTGATGCAGCCTCCAACTATAAATCAATCATGAACCATGGTTCCAAGACCGCTGATCGGTAACGGATCAAGGATAGTTCAGGCCCCGCAAATGTGTTCTCGCGTATGTGCTAAGCTAATCCGGGGTGCTAACCTATTTTAACGAGGCTTGGGCCCTGAAAAATTGTGCTTTAAATTCTGGTTCTTGTTTCTCTACTAGCGTGAGTGCATCTCTATACACGTTGGCCAAGCCGGAGTGCAGATCGGTAATGCCTGCTGGGAACTGTACTGCCTGGAGCATGGCATACAGCCTGATGGTCAAATGCCCAGTGATAAAACCATTGGTGGCGGTGATGACTCCTTCAACACTTTCTTCTCTGAGACTGGAGCAGGAAAGCATGTACCCCGTGCTGTGTTCGTAGACTTGGAACCTACTGTTGTTGGTAAGTTGATGACATTGTCATTGATAATATAATTATGTACAATGGCAATGCTCGTCAACTATTAAAACTTAAATGAAGCATGAAGATGGAACTTAGTCAACTATCTCGTTCTTTATGTTAATTCTTGGAAATTATTTCCGGTGTTGTTTACGATTAAAAAAGAACAATTTATTATTTCACGTGCATTTGACAGTGATTTGTCTGTCTAAAATCTTCATATTTAATCGGAACTGTATTGATTTTGTGCAGATGAGGTTCGCACTGGGACCTACAGACAACTGTTCCACCCAGAACAGCTCATCACAGGCAAGGAGGATGCTGCCAACAACTATGCACGTGGTCATTACACCATCGGCAAGGAGATCGTTGACCTTGTGCTGGATCGCATCCGCAAGCTTGCTGACCAGTGCACTGGGCTTCAGGGCTTCCTCATCTTCCACAGTTTCGGAGGAGGAACCGGCTCTGGATTCGCGTCGCTTCTCATGGAACGTCTGTCGGTTGACTATGGAAAGAAGTCCAAGTTGGAGTTCGCCATTTATCCATCACCGCAGGTAATATATTTGAAAACCTGCTTGCAATTACTTTGTGACAATTACAACGAGACTTCACCATCAACACAGGATGTCATAGACGAGGCCTTCCATAGGTCTAGACGGCCACATCTCCATAGCAACCGCGACGATCCAGCACAACACAACAAAGGCTTCCACCTGGATAGACCGTTGTTGTGTTGCGCGTGCGTGGCCACATTTTCCACATGCAGGCAACTGTGGGAGCACAGGTGCGATGTGCACCAAGCACGCTTATTCATGTGTGACATATGCTTGAACTTTGAAGTTGTACAAGCAGAAACGGTCGCTACGTCACCATTGGCGATAAGCTCATGTTGTGGGTTGCGCTGACCAACTTCTCTACGCGATAGAGGCTTTCCTATAACCCCTCTACCCGTCTCGACTTTTTTTTCTCTTCGCTCCGTACTTGGAATAGACACACTGTCTGTGTTTCGGGACACAACTACTGTGCCTCCATCCCACAGCGTCGCTACGTTGAACAGCACTATCACCTCTGACTGCCTATGTCTTTTATCATTTGTTCTCTTCTCTCAAGCTTTCCTTTTTTACCCCTCTACCACTATCCAGCAGCCCCTCACTTGTAAAAAATTGAAGAACTTGACGAAGACTACCACAAACTAGTCTTTCATTGCTAACTTTGAGTAGCATTTTCTCAACCTAACTTTTATGTAAAATGGCATTGTTCAACCAGCAAATCAAATCCACGTGGGGGAACACAGTAGAGGCTCAGCTTCACGCATGTTCACAATATTACATGTGTGTTACACTTACAGTGTAACTTTTACCATTTTCTACTGTAATGTTCTAAGCTGTGTACATACGTTTTACCAAAATAGAACTGAATATATTTACCAACGATGCAGTAAACTAATGATATATGCATTGGTTAGTTTTCTATGGTTGATTAACAAATTGTCTTTAATTTAGGTGTCCACTGCAGTGGTTGAGCCATACAACTCCATTCTGACCACTCATACTACTTTGGAGCATTCTGACTGCGCTTTCATGGTGGACAATGAAGCCATCTATGACATCTGTCGCCGCAACCTGGACATTGAACGACCAACCTATACCAATCTCAATCGTCTTATTGCTCAAATTGTGTCCTCCATCACTGCATCTCTGAGATTCGATGGTGCCCTCAATGTAGATCTTACAGAGTTCCAGACCAACTTGGTACCATATCCACGCATCCACTTCCCACTGGCGACCTATGCTCCTGTCATCTCTGCTGAGAAGGCTTACCATGAGATGCTGTCTGTTGCTGAGATCACTAATGCTTGCTTTGAGCCAGCTAACCAGATGGTGAAGTGCGACCCACGCCATGGCAAGTACATGGCATGCTGCATGCTGTATCGTGGTGATGTCGTCCCCAAGGATGTCAATGCTGCCATCGCAACCATCAAGACCAAGCGCACGATCCAGTTCGTTGACTGGTGCCCCACTGGATTCAAGGTCGGCATCAACTACCAGCCGCCCACCGTTGTTCCGGGAGGTGATCTGGCCAAGGTTCAGCGTGCAGTCTGCATGCTGAGCAACACCACGGCCATCGCTGAAGCCTGGGCTCGTCTCGACCACAAGTTTGATCTGATGTACGCCAAGCGAGCCTTTGTTCATTGGTACGTGGGAGAGGGCATGGAGGAAGGAGAATTCTCAGAAGCCCGTGAGGATTTGGCTGCCTTGGAGAAGGATTACGAAGAAGTCGGTGTTGACTCGGTTGAGGGAGAAGGTGAAGAGGGTGAGGGAGAAGAGTATTAATCTGCATAATAAAATTGTAGCTTCATAAGTTTAAAGGACATTGCTAGCGATACCGGAAATTGTAATTCCGTGTAGGTTTTATAAAGTATTTTTGGACATTTGGGACTTCTTTAGTATTGCTATGGTAGTTACTGGAATATATGTAACCAGCGGGCTTTCAGCTACTAAAAGTTAGTTTTTAAGAAAAATAAATGCATGTAAGTGCATTATACTTTTGGTATCGAAATAGTTTATGTAGAACTTATAACTAGTAGTTTATATGCAGATCAATTGAAAACGTTAATAAATATGCCTCATAAGTCATAATATAAACTGGTTTTGTGTTTTATTGCAAACAAATACAGTACATGTAAAGTACAATAAGACGCCATTGTCTAACACGTCAATTCGCTGAAGTCGTCATGTAAGTCCCGATTTTCTCTAATGATAACTCCATTTGAATAGCCCCGCCAAAGCCGTCATTATGTATAAGTCGGCGCCCTCAGACAGGGCCCATGTAATATAAACAACAGTAAAATCCTATTTGTATGTCGACATCAGAAATGCCGATGCACCGAATTCTTGGTATCACTCATAAGCTACGTCTACACGAGGAACCTTAAAGGAACAGTAGCCTCTAGGTTCTAGGGTTATTTTCAGCTAATTTAGGTTATAATTGCGCTACATAAAAAGTTTCATGGTTCAATCACCATAAGAAATATTTTTTTTAAATGTTTTAAAACTAACGACTACAGTTTGATTACAGCGACGGTTGCGCCACTCAAAGCGCACGATCTGAGAAGTTGCGCAAAACCACTTTCCAGCCAAGGGCTACAGACCGAGGGTATTTCTTATTTATTCATTTAAAAGCAAAAGGATTGTAATATCTTATAAACGACATATAGTTTCAGTTATAATATGGATAAATTTACCCTAAAATGAATATCGTTCGGTTAAATAGCATTTCTAGGTATAAATATAATTGCACTTTTGTGATTAGCCCTCGGTCCTTTACCTGCAAAATAAAAATGCAAATACGCAACTTTTTCAGGGTGGCAGCACGGTCGCGGGTGTCATGGCGCCGTTCAAATTTCGTAGCGTTGATGTGTAAATAATTAATTAAGTATCTGGTGACAAATACATGTGGATATAGACGATTTGTTATACAGTAAGTATAGTTGTATGCAGTAGGCTACTATCCTAGAGGCTACTGTCCCTTTAACTCGAGTTAGCTTAACCTCCACGATAGGCGGCAGCACTAGTACGATGTACGTACACACGCACGCACGCCTACGTGCACATGCACACGCACGCACCAAGGAGCTAAATATAACCTTATATGTAGCTCCTTGGCGCGCACGAACGCGTACCTGCACACGCACGCACGCACGTGTACTTGCACACGCACGCACACACTCATGCACGCACGCACGTGTACGTGCACATGCACGCACGCACGTGTACGTGCACATGCACGCACGCACGCACGTCTACGTGCACATGCATGCACGCACGCACGCACGCACATGTACCTGCACACACACGCACGTACGCACGCACACATGCACACAAGTGTAGCTGCACAAGCACGCACGCACGCACGAACGTGTACCTGCACACGCACGCACGTACGTGTACGTGCACACACACTGACGCATGCACGCACGCATGCACGCACGTGTACGTGCACACGCACGCACGCACGCACGAACGCGCGTGTACGTACACACGCACGCACACACGCACGTTTACATACACACGCACGCACGCATGCATAATAAATCGGTAATAATCGCTATCGGGTGTTGTCGTGTAGACGCTACATAATCGCTAACTCGAGTTAACACTTAACTCGAGTTAAGGTTCGTCGTGTAGACGAGGCTATTGTTTCGTGGAAACACATGCAGGCTAGTCTCGCTCAAACCAGTAGTAGCTGGTAGAGCAGTATAGTAGAGCAGTAGGCCCTATTTAGTGGTGGGTAATACATGTACGTGTATCTTCCTTTGATTATTTACTGAACATTTCGTGTTTTATGTAATTTTGAGATGATACCTTAGTGCATATAGATGTACATACTACTTACTACTATATACTACCATGATACTACATACAAGAAAAACTTGTACAGCAGAAATCTGAAAATCCGGACTGCTCGGAGGGTCCGGCTTTTCTGCATTCTCGGGCAGTACTTTTAAATTTCAAATTTAAGAAGGAATAAAGAAGAGATGAATGTGTACATTTCGATAGTTTATTTATTAGAAAATACAGCATGCTTCATTTATCAAAACGAACAGTTTTGATAAATAATAATAAAGAAGCCCCGTCAGAAAAATAAGCCCCGTCTACACGAGGATTAAAGTCAAAGGACACGAAAATAAAGTCAACATTTGACAAAAATGTACACAACAAATTTTTCATGACAAAAAAAAACGTCTAATGCTTGAAATAATAGCCGCGTTCACACGTAGCAAGAAATCCGGTATTTAGCGTTCACACGAGGCAAAATGCGCGGTCCAAGAAATACGGTATCTAAACAGATCCGGTATTTGTTGTAAATACGCGGCTTCCCAGACCCCGAATAATTTGCCGTGCTTGAGAAATACCGGATCTCTTGGACCGCGCATTTCCTCGTGTGAACGCTAAATACCGGATTTCTGAAGCCGCGTATTTTATAGACTGGTCCGCGCTCGACAGTTCCAGTGTAACGCGAGTGGAACTGTCGAGCGCGGACCAGTCTACGTATTTTATCGGCAGTTGGTGCGCATTGCATTGTTTATTTCGCATTATTCGCTTGATTGTTTAAAGCAGCTCGCAGCTCGCAAATACCGTATTTCTGGAGCCGCGAATCAGCGTGTGAACGCTCGGCCGCGTATTTGCCTCAGATTCGGTATTTCGCAAATACCGTATTTCATAAATTCGTGTGAACGAGGCTATAATGTTTAAAAATAAACATTGTAAAAGAAAAGTACAGTAAACAAATGAAAGCAGACGTTTTCGAAAAGTCTTGGGGTCTCGGTTGGTCTGAATATTTTTGTACTTCTGCTGTATCCTGTAAATTTGGTGGTCAGTCCAATGATAGATCACTGTTTGTATAAACAAAATTCCAAACTAATCGGTTTTTTATTGCTCAAGTAATTATTAATGAATACATGCATTATAGACTGTACGTACTACGTAAATAAAACGGGGCTGGATAACTACCAATGATACATATGCACAAACAAAACAATGAACACTACTGCACTTTGTTGTAAACAGTACTTGGCTGCACGCTTTTGATTTTGGACGACGCAGAGGGGGAGAAGACTGACGGACGACGCAGAGGGGGAGAAGGCAAACGGAGGGCGTAGAGGGGGAGAAGGCTGATAGACGACGCAGAGGGGGAGAAGGCAAACGGACAGCGTAAAGGGGGAGAAGGCGGGCGGGCGGCGAAATTTTTTTTCCCACTTGAGTTCCGGACCACAGCCAATCAGCGCACTCCATTCACTCGACTTCCTCGAAGCAACAATGTAAAATGAATACCCCTATCCCTAACGGGTGTTGCTATCCCCCGGGCGTGGAGGGAGGTCACGTGACGATGACGTTCAAAACGTTAACCCTAACGGTAACTCTAACCACAAGAAAATATATATATCTCGCAGCGGTATATATGGGCATTGTGATCCACAAAAATTAATCTATGGTGTGGGGACAGATATCATGATGCAAAAACCCTAACCCTAACCCTGACCCTAACCCTAATCCTAACATTATCCTAACACTAGTGCTGCCACGTTGCGGTCACCTCCCTCCACGCCCGGGGGATAGCATTACCCATCTCTAACCCTAACCCTAACCCGTACCCGAACCCTAGCACGAACTATAATCCAACTATATATATACGAACCATATATTACAAAACACTATCTATGGTGGGTCCGGAACTCAAGTGGGAAAAAAATTTCGCAGGCGGGCGGGCGGCGTAGAGGGGGAGAAGGCGGACGGACGGACGGCGTAGAGGGGGAGCAGGCGGGCAAACGGCGCGGAGCGGGAGATGGCGGACGGACGGCGTAGAGGGGGAGAAGGCGGACGGACGGACGGCGTAGAAGGGGAGCAGGCTTGGCGCCGACGAAGGCTGCAACCTGGCCCAAATAGTCCAGTCCAACAGCTCCGACGTGCGAGTCAAAGGGCGGCAAAAGCAGGTGTAGAGGAACCATAGTGACGTGACGTTGCGGACGTTGCTGTAAAGTGCTTGATCCGCGTCCATCTGTTCTTGATTGTTTAACGACGAAATGTCCTTACTGTTCACGTTCCGAACGCCTCCTCAATTTCGCCATTCTGTTCCCGCAGCAGCCTATGATCAGTTCCGGCCGTTTCAGACATCTTGGTAGGGGGGTCAGCGTAGCAACTATCGGTCTTGACGTGGTGAGTCTTACTTGGCTCGCAAGCCTGATACAGTCGACTGCGCAATTTAACTCTGTTGCTGTTTTCTCAGCAAAGAGTCAATAAAATAATCGTATTATTGTATACAAAATATGTATGTTTTATTGTACAGCAATTGGTATTGGTACGACGCATAAAGTTTGCAGTAATCGCCACACTATCTGTGATCATGCTTTATAAGCTTTAGAAAACGAGTTCTTTTCGAAAGAATCCTCGTTTTATTACGGAGGCATCCATCTCGCACACTGTGCCGTGGCGGCCAATCTCTAGTCCAGTTCTGCCATGTTCGCGAATGTTCAACTTTCGTGCATCGCCACCAACATGGGCATAGTGCCATTTAAATCTGGTAAAAAATACTTGTCTAGCTCACCTTGGAAACCGGCCCTGGGTGTCACCACTAGCGCATAGTGTCACGTAGTCCAGTAGCAGTGCACACGGAGGCCCACATCGGCGCGGACAAAATACAATATATCCCTCAATAATGAAAAATTGATAACACCTCACGCTCAACTTTAGTCGGCATTCAAGTAAGCGTGCGTGCGGGTGGCACGCATCCGTCCGATAAGAAGTGGTGCAGGGGGGATGTCAGCACCGTATTGCCGTATTGGGAAATACGGTCTAGGTTTCAAAGTGCTCTTTCCAAAATTTAGCAGAAAATACAAAAAATACAGAAAAACAATTTGAGATTGGCAATTTGGCTATATTCTTTATTTGTTTTCTTTTTGCTTCTGATTCATTGACATGCAGGACTAAAGGAAATTCAAAATTTTACATGGTTTTTATAGTCTTTTATATCTGAAAAAGAAAGAATTAAGTGCTTTGAATCATTCTGGCAATTAATTGCTGGTATGCAAAGCGCAGGCAAAATCGAACCAGAAGTAAAATTCCATATGTTTTTAGCTATTTG